CCCTCGGATTTTCCCGCAGTGTTTTCCGGGCAGCGTCGGGGGGGGGGGGCCCCCCAAATTTTCTATCTTCAGCTTGCATTTTTTTTCTGCAACTGTAAAGCCATTCTTGCAGCACTTATTCTATCGCATCTATCCTGTGTCACATTTTTAGTATCCCCCGACCCCTTAGTGCTCTACAGGCTAAACGAAAATTTTATACATCCATTTCCCCAGTTTTTCCGACCAACTTTGGGTTTCGCCCTTTTCTAAACCCAAAAAAAAGAAAATTTTTTTTTGTTGGGGCCCTGGTCAGTCGAAGGGACAGGGCAATGAAAAGGCAGACACGGGTGCGCGGTCAGGGAGTACATGAACCCCCAATTTCCCTAACGAGGTTTCCATTTTTGGCTTTTTTTCCTGCAATAAACTACCCCCCTTCGCACCCCTTGGCAACAAAAAGTTTGGGCCAAAATCTGCTCGGGAACAAACTTCATTCTATTTAAAACCCAGCATAGGTTTTTTCTGGCCGTTTTTCTTGTCATCAGTCCCAGGGTTTGGGGGAAACCCCTCTCTCCCGCCTTCGCATTGGCCACACTCGTCTTACTCATGGGGATCTCATGGAGTGGGACCCTGTTCCTCTCTGTGAGCAGTATCAAGTTCCAGTATCGATTAGCCACATTCTGTTAGACTGCCCTCTCTATCAACGAGCACGCAGAATTTACCTCCAACGTCGTCTTCGTTCTGCTACTCTCTCTTTACCTTCCCTTCTTGCTGATGGACCCTCCTTTAATCCTGACTCTCTCATTGACTTCTTGACAACAACTGATTTACTCCACAAACTCTGATGATACTTTTCGCACTCCCCTCAGCCCTTTCTAGTTCAGTCTCTTGCTGCCCTTTACCCTTTCACCATCCACTACCCCGCTGTTATCCGTAACCTACTACTCATCCATCTCCCTTTTGCCACCTGATGCCCTCGCTTCCTTCCTGCCCTGCAGCGCTGTATAGTCCTTGTGGTTTAGCGCTTCTTTTTTATTATAATAATAATAATAATAATAATCTCTCTCTCTCTCTCTCTCTCTCTCTCTCCTCCTCTCTCTCTCTCTCTCTCTCTCTCTCTCTCTCTCTCTCTCTCTCTCTCTCAATAGAAATGAGCAAAGTAAAATATTGGACTTCTTGAGATATATATATATATATATATATATATATATATATATATATATATATATATATATATATATATATATATATATATATATATATATATATATATATATTATATATATATAATATATATATATATATATATATATATATATATATATATTATATATTTTAAAATATATATATATATATATATATAATATAATATATATATATATATAATATATAATATATATATATACAGAGAGAGAGAGAGAAAGAGAGAGAGAGAGAGAGAGAGAAAGAAAGAAAGAGAAAGAGAGAGAGAGAGCTGTATAACGTGTTGGTCACAGACCTACGTACATACACAGCTACGAAAATCAGTCACAAGAATAGTCACAGGGCGGAGTAAAAAATATTCAGGTGTGCGTGTTCGCGTTAGTAATGTCACAGATTACCTCTGCAGATACATAGAATGTGTCTGGCGTTTTAAGAAAGAAGTTTGCCCTTAGTAGCTGTGGGTTGCGTGTAGGGGCGGTGTGTTGTGTGTACAGGCGGTGGGTAGTGTGTAGAGTAGGCAAGTTGCGTGTAATGAAGGCTAGTTGCGTGTAGGCTTGCATAAAGCACTTTGTAAGGTGTTTTCTAACCTACAACAACCCCTTAACTACCTGAATCCATCTTGCAGATTGAACTAATGGAGTAGTTTTGTCTAACTGCTAATGTTGGCCAGTAGAATGATGAGTTGGTTAGCTGGTAGTGGAACCCGGTGGTTGAACTGGTAGTTATCAGGTAGACTGACTTGATTGTTGGACTAAAAGAGTGGCTTACTGTAGTAACTGGTGAAGTTGACTTTGTGGAGTTTACTTGCTGGAGTAACTGATGGAGTGACGTGTGGGGTTAGTGAAGCTTCATACGTGAAGTGTGAATGTTGCTGCCTTGCAACAAAACTTCCTCAAGCACGTATAATGCATATTTGTGAACAAACCCCCATCCTCTGTAATTATGATGCAGTATAATACATCACTGTAATACACAGATGGAAGGAGCTTAACTTTTATTCACTGCCATCTTACGAGATGTTAAGCAACTCAACATGATCGTTTATTTAGGAATCCCCGAATGGGGACCTGTAGATAGTTGCCTTGTTTTCTTGTTATTTTCTTCCTATAACTTTTCGATTTTGTTTCGCTCTTAACTCGAGAATCCCACATCCGATCGGATTAAGATTTTGAACATTTGTGTACTGTAACGAGGACCAGGCTCTAGGAACCAATGGGATGTGCAGGTGCCCTATGATCAAATCTGTTGAACCTATCTCAGCATCCTGGAATGGCTCGGATAGCTTCCAAAACCCTCAGTGGTGTAGTTTCAGAATTTCGTAAAAGTTGCCCTCATTAATTAGATGACGGTGGAGAGTGAAATTAAAGTGTGTAGTTGCAGATTTGACGTATTATATGTAAAACAATGTGGAATTTTTATTCCTGTTAAACCACATTAAATAAATCTCAGTTTAACTTTTCGGAGTGGCGTCAGTATTTAGTGGGCCAGGATAGTGCACATTAAGTTTTGTTTGTATGCAGACAAATATGATAATGCAGTAAAATTGTTAAATAAGATTGGACTCTGAGGAATCCGTGCAATAACTAGAGAATGCATCTTCTGATCGGATTCAAATTTTCTAAACTAGTGTAGTTTTCTGAACACAAGACTCACGCTGTTATGGGTGGCATAAGTCCCAGTTTGCCAGTGTTATTGAATAAATAGAGTTATTCATTTATATTCAGTAATTAAAGAATGCTTTTTCTGATCTGATCCGCTTCACAATATGAAGGACCTGGTAGTGATAAAGTCACAGGATTTCACCTTCGAAGACCACAACAGTGTATCTACCTCATCTGCTAGAAAAATGATATAAGGGATAATGAGAACCTTCGAAACTAGAGACGCCCAGATGATTCTCTTCATATCGCTTTTTCTCTCTAGGCTGGAATACTGCTGTACACTAACTGTCCCCTTCAAGGCAGACGAAATTGCTGACCTGTAGAATGTACAGAGAGCTTTCACGGTACACAAGTACGACAAAGTACCTAAATTACTGAGAACGGTTGAAGTCCCTTGATTTGTATTCCCTGGAACGCAGGCCAGAAAGATACATGATAATATACACTTGGAAAATCTTAAGAGGGATTAGTACCAAACTTGCACACGAAAATCACTGGACAAGCACCTGAAGTCGGTACCTGACCAGCCGGGCTGTGGCTTGTACGTTGGATTGCGTGCAACCAGCAGTAACAGCCTGGCTGATCAGGGTCTGATCCACCAGGAGGCCTGGTCACAGACCGGGCCGCGGGGGCGTTGACCCCCGGAACTCTCTCCAGGTAATATATAAATATATATATTTTATAATAAATATATATATATATAAAAATATATATATATATATATATATTATATGTGTGTGTGTGTGTGTGTTTCACATTATTCTGCGTTTATTATCAGCCAAAAGGATTCGGTAAAAAGAAAATAGAACCTTGTGAACAGATAACAGCCAATATAATTTTTGAGGTGAGTTATACTGATGACAGCGTTGTCTCTTCTCCTTCCTCTCACCTGCTTCAGGCTCCTCCCCTCTCCACTTTTTTTTTATTTTAATAAGGGAAAAAACGTTAACCCATAGGGGTCACACAGCACCTGGAGCTGGGAGGTAATCCGGTTCGATCCAAGGAAGGGAAAGCAAGTCCACTTCCTTGGATCAAGATACTTCCTCCTCGTCTAACTATAGCTTTCTGGTGGTCGTTTAACTGCAGCCGTCTGGTGATCGTTTACATGTATTTTCCTGGTGGTTGTTTACATGTGGTCATTAAACTAGCTGGCAGGTGCTCGTTTAACTGTAGCTCCCTGGTAGTGTTATGGAAAGTAATCGGTATTTTTATTGTCTGCGGGTAATGGAGTGTGGTCGTTGCAGGTACAACATACCAGAGTAACTACACCAAACTGGCTGCACACGTTGCATAATGCTCGGTGTCATGCGGATTTAGTCACTTAGCCATAATACCAACTTACCTCATAATTTGTAATATTTTAAAATAAATAATTAAACTAAGTCTGCCCGAAATGCCTAGCCATGCTAGGCGTTCTAGTGGTACACTCTGTAATCATTATTTAACTACATGTAAACCACACAATAACCAAATTCTGTAAATTCAACATTGTAATCCTTATAGAGAATAAACTTTGAATTTGAATTTGAATTTGAATAGTCTCGGATAGGCCAGCCCTAGAACGTGTTTAGCTTTCACATGTTTTAGTAAGATAAGATTTTCTCTATTTTGGTAATCTACGTTTGAATTTACAAACAGTATTATTGAAATACTTGTTATAGAAAAATATTGGTGATAAATTGTGCGGTTTTTACCTTGGGTACCTATTCCTTCCTCCCGGGCACCCACCCCCAAAAAAGTAGTGTAACTTCGGTTCAGGTTTTTGCCTTAAGAATTCTTTTTCTGATCGACCTCAGACTTTCACTGAGTGTGTATCTTAGTATAAGAAATGTTATTTGTTTGTATGAAATCACTGACAAGCTGCAACAATTGTTGTTTCTGTTTTTGTTAAGAGCTAAACCCGCAGAAACTAATAACAGCGTTTTGCAATGTAGTTCACATGAGAGGGCCATCACATAATGAGAAAATGATCAAAGTTCTTCCATGCTGTTTTCCAGGCACATTTACCGTCTTATTTACTGCGCTGTCAGCCTCACTGTGTTTCCCTAAAACCAAATTTGTTCGCAGTCTTTTCTGGCGGGGAAAGCGTGTGGCGCCTCGACATGAGTTGCACTAGCTGTTGTTTTCAAGCTATAAACCTCCCATAAGTATGTTCCTGAGTTGGCACTAACAGCCCCCTATCTCTATCTTTACCCCCTGCAGGTGTGTGTGTGGGTGGGCTATGGGCGTGTGGAGGGAGCGTGAAGGAGGAGACTCTAGGACCAGACGCCATTATACAGCTACGCCGCTACGTAGCTTCCACTCTCATCCGTCTCTCCTATGACCTTCGTATGTACCATATTTTATTTATTTATTAATTTGAACATGATACAGAGAAGTACAAGGATTACAATTTTTAAGGTGCAGCATGCCAAAGCCCCTTGTATGCAGAGCATTATGGGCAGGCTTAAAATTAACTTAAGATTAACTAAGCAATGATATATTCAGTGGTACAAAAATTATTGTAAAACAGATAACAATTTAGTACAAATGAGTATTACAAATACAGGTCATATGGTCATTTACTGTGTTGCTGTGTAATCAGTAGAATGGAGTATTCTGTTAGGTAATGAAGTTAAATAGTAACAAAGTTTGATTGGGTCACAGGTTGACATTTATGAGATACAATAATGAGATACATATATGAGATACAATTTATTAGATACAATTATTCAGTATTTATTTAGTTGTGAGTAAGTGATTTTTGAGAAGAGACTTGAATTTATAAACAGACAGTGTTTCTTTTATATTCACAGGTAATGAATTCCAAATTTTAGGGCCTTTTATGTGCATTGAGTTTTTGCATAGCGTGAGATGGACACAAGGAACATCAGAGTGATCTGTGCCTTGTGTTATGGTCATATGTTCTGTTAAGGTTGGTAAGGAGATGTTTGAGGGGAAGGTTTATGTCAGAGTTAAGTGTTCTATGTATGTAGTAGGTGCAGTAATAAGTATGGATGTTTTGTATTGTGAGTAGGTTTAGAGTTTTGAATATTGGTGGAGTGTGTTGTCTGTAGTGGGAATTTGTTATTCTGACTGCAGCCTTTTGTTGGGTGATTAGTGGTCTGAGATGGTTTATTGTTGTTGAGCCCCATGCACAAATTCCATAGGTTAGATAGGGGTAAATAAGTGAGTGATATAGGGCCAGGAGGGCTGACTGTGGAACATAGTACCGTATCTTCGATAGTATGCCTACGGTCTTGGAAATTTTTTTGGAAATTTGTTGTATATGTGTTTGAAATTTGAGTCTATTATCAAGGTGGATTCCTAAGAATTTTCCCTCTGAGTTTTGTGGTAGGTGATCCATTTATCATTATGTTTAGAGACACATCTGTAGCTCTGTTACCAAACTGAATGTAGTAGGTTTTGTCAATGTTTAGAGTAAGTTTGTTGGTCCTCATCCAGGTTGATATTTTCTGTAATTCGGTATTTACAGTATTGGCTAGCATGACTGGGCTCGGGTGAGAGTAGACGTATGTAGTGTCATCTGCAAATAGTGTGGGTTTGAGTAGCTGCAATGCATTTGGTAGGTCATTTATGTATATGAGAAAGAGAAGAGGGCCTAGGACACTTCCCTGTGGGACACCAACTGTAATTGGCTGTGCTGAAGAGTTTGCCCCATTTGTGTACACATATTGGCTTCTGTTGCTGAGGTATGACTTTAGGTAGTTGAGGGAGTGCCCTCTTATACCATAGTGCGACAATTTTATGTGGAGCAAGTCGTGGTCAATTGTATCGAAAGCTTTACGTAAGTCAATGAAGATCCCCAGTGGGACTTCTTTTTTCTCTATTGCTGTATAAATATGTTCTAGCATGTGGATAATAGCATCATTAGTATTTTTATTAGGCCTGAACCCAAATTGACAGGGGTTGAGTATGTTGTGGGAGATGAGGTAGGAATAGATACGCTTATGGATTTATTTTTCAAAGATTTTGGAGAGAGGGTGTAAGTTGGATATTGGCCTATAGTTATTCAAGTCTCGCTATACTGTGTATGTGTGCACGTTACGTACACTTCACCAAGTACATGTACTCTCATAACCATCCTCTATATAGTTGTGTATGTGCGCCTGATACGTACACTTCGCCGAGTACATTCATATAACCATCCTTTATACCATCTCTATACGAGTCTTAAGTGTGCACATTAGTACACCTCAACACGAACACACACTCACATAACCAAACTCTTGTATTGGCCTCATGCTATGTAAAAATCGCACGTGACAAATTTGCAGTGTGCCTCAGTATATTTTATATGTATTTCAGGACACATTCAAATTCGAATTCAAATTCAAAGTTTATTCTCTATAAGGATTACAATGCTGAGTTTACAGAATTTGGTTATTGTGTGGTTTACATGTAGTAAAATAATTACAGAGTGTACCACTAGAACACCTAGTATGGCTAGGCATTTCGGGCAGACTTAGATTAAATCTTAGGTTTAAAATATTACAAAATTATGAGGTAAGTTGGTATTGTGGCTAAGTGACTAAATACTAGTTTGTGAGTTTAGCAGTGTGAATGCTTTTGTTTTGGCACTATACATAGTTTCAGTATTGGAGTATCACAGGCCAACTTATGACTAGTTAAGATTCATTATTTTGAGATTGAGATTGATATTTCTGTTTATGGTCAAATGGTTGAGTGAGTGTAAGTGTTAACCACCAGGTGGTATTCGTGTAATTAGTTGACAGGGTGTATCAGGGAGATAAGATGTTTTCTGATGGTAGTTTTGAAGGTGATGAATGTGTCTGCAGTTTTAGAATTTTCAGGTAGGGTGTTCCAGATTTTAGGGCCTTTGACATACATTGAATTTTTGTAAAGGTTTAGTCGGACACGGGGAATGTCATAGAGATGTTTGTGTCTGGTGTTGTGCCTGTGGGTTCTGTCACAACTATCAAGAAAGCGTTTTAGGTCAAGGTTAATATTGGAATTTAAGGTCCTGTAGATGTAGATTGCACAGTAGTAAGTGTAGATGTACTGAACAGGGAGTAAATTTAGATCTATGAAGAGGGGGGGGGGTGTTGCCAGGGATGGGATTTAGTGATTATTCTTACTGCGGCTTTTTGTTGGGTTATTATTGGCTTTAGGTGTGTTGCTGCAGTTGATCTCCAAGCACAGATAGCATAGGTGAGGTATGGATATATAAGTGAATGGTATAGTGTGAGAAGGGCAGTTTGCGGCATGTAGTATCGTATCTTGGAGAGGATCCCAACCGTTTTGGATACTTTTTTGGTTATGTGTTGGATATGGGTGCTGAAGTTCAGGTTGTTGTCGAGGTATAGGCCTAGGAATTTGCCCTCATTATGCCTGGCAATTAGTGTTGTCGATCTTAATGTTAATTTGCTCATCTCCTGCTCTGCTACCAAACATAATGTAGTATGTTTTGTCAGTGTTAAGCGTAAGTTTATTGGCTGTCATCCAAGTCGATATTTTGATCAGCTCCTCATTAACAATGGTGTTGAGGGTGGCAAGATTAGGGTGAGAGATGACATAAGTCGTGTCGTCAGCAAAGAGAATGGGGTTCAGGTGTTGAGATACGTTTGGAAGATCATTGATGTATATGAGGAAGAGCAGGGGACCAAGGACACTTCCCTGCGGAACTCCAGTATCAAGTGGCTGTGTTGTTGATGCTGTGTCTTTAATGGTGACATACTGATACCTATTAGTAAGGTAAGATTTGAAATATGCAAGCGCATGGCCTCTTATACCATAATGGTCAAGTTTGTGGAGTAGGATGCCGTGGTCTACTGTGTCAAAGCTTTTCTTAGGTCAATAAAAATTCCTAGTGGATATTCCTTATTTTCCAATGCTGTGTAAAGCAGATCTAGCATTTTTATGATTGCATCGTTAGTGCTTTTATTTTTCCTGAATCCAAATTGGCAGGGGTTGAGTATGTTTTGTGCTGTTATAAATGAATATAGTCTCCTGTGCACGAGTTTCTCAAAGATTTTGGATAGCAATGGTAAGTTTGATATTGGCCTATAGTTGTTTAAATCTGTAGGGTCACCACCTTTATGTATTGGTGTAACCCTTGCCGTCTTGAGTAGTTTCGGGAATTTGCTAGTTTCTAGTGACTTGTTAATTTGAACTATAGATATGTGAACTATAGATATGTAGATATAAATCCATATGTATTCCTGTTAACCCTTTGGGGCCTAGTTCCTAGGCCTTTTGTGTATCCATATGCTCTCGCGCTACCGTCCACAGGATGGATATGGGGTGCACAATAAACTAGCCACTTCGGTGGCAAAATCTAATCTTGTTAAAAAGTATTGAGATAGCATGCGAGAGGACATGGGCCGCTCTCTTGTACAATAATGGTGGGACATGAGACAGATTCCCTGAGTTATTTTTAAGTAACTTTATAATCTCGGTGACTTCCGTGGGCTCAGTTGGAGCAAGATAGAAGGAATTTGGGAAATTCCCATCTAGGTAGTCCCCGGCATGGGGACTTTATTGACTTTATTGTACGTGGGATTTTATTGGCGAGATTAGAACCTATGGTTGAGAAGAAGTCGTTTATCTTGTTAGCTGTTGAAGATTGAGACACTTATGCAGCATATGGGAATCTTTATTCAGGAAACGTTTCGCCACACAGTGGCTTCATCAGTCCAATACAAAGAGGAAGGCGTAAGGAGAGGAGGAGAATGAGGTAATCAGTCCCTCAACCTGGAGTCGATGTGTTCAGTCCATCAATCTTGTAGAATGTACAGCATAGGGCCGTAGACGTGGCTTATATACTGTAGTGAGGTGACGTGAAGCAGATGGAGGCGGGGTCATAGTGGTACCATCCACTAGTCGAAGTAGGTCTTCGTCCAAAGGTTGAACAAGTGTTGAAGAATTCTTTGTAACAAGACCCCATGATGCTGCCGTGTCTGACAGTTGTGATGAATGGTTTGAAAAACCGACAAGTTGAAGATTGAGACACTTATGCAGCATATGGGAATCTTTATTCAGGAAACGTTTCGCCACACAGTGGCTTCATCAGTCTTGGACTGATGAGTAATACCACCCCCAACTTGGTATGGTCTGCAGTTGTGGATTGCTGTGTATCCTGGTAGAGGGTAGATACGTATTGTGTCCTGCTTAAGCCAGGTCCCATGACCACCAAGACTTCTCAATATATTTATATATACAACTCAGAACACCGCAGTATATTTATATATATGCTCATGACACCACAGTATATTTATATATATACTCAATACACCTCACTATAGTTATATGTATAGTCATGACACCTCAGTATTCTCACACAATATTAATGGTGTACAATATTGACA